TTTATTTATTTATTTGAAATAGGGTCTCACTATACAATCCAGTCCAGGCTTAAATTTACTAGGTAGCCCTAGGCAGCTTCAAACTCGCAATCCTCCAGCCTCAGCCTCCAGCATAGCTGGGATTCCAGGCGTGCACCACCACACCCAGCCTTGGAGACCTTGTGTGCCCTCCTCAGTCTCAGCCATGGAGCCCCCTCATTGTTGGGATCCATGCCCTGGCTCTCAGGATCTTTCCTGCCCCCTGCAATCTGTCCTTACAACTAGTAGCCAGAGCACCTGGAGCATCTGGAGACAAGAAAGCCAAGGTCTCCTCTGTGGGGTGCCAAAGGGGTCCCTCTTGTCTACTCCCAGACAGGAAGGTCACAAGCGGCCACAGGGCCGGGGCCAGTTTCCCTGGCCTCTGCAAATGCCGCCTTCAGGGGCTTAGCATTGGCTTTCTTCCTTCCCTGTGGGGAAGAGGCACTAGTCCCCAGCCACAGGGCTTTCTCCTCAGCACTCCAGGGAGTGGGGCGGGGACAGCTGCAGCAAGGAAGGGAAACAGATCTGAGAAACTTCTTCTGGCAGCAGGGCTTCCCTGGGCATTTCGGACAACCAGGAGGAGGCCTGACCCCCAAAGCCTGGGAGGTGAGGCTCTGCTCAGCAGCTCCTGGCTTATCGGGGCACTTGGAAATCTTAGTAGCCAAGGTGGTCCCTGGAGAAGTAGAGCGGGGAGGCTCCTTCCAGCAGGCCTGGGAGTGGTGGATCCAGAGGTATGAAGTATATGTTCCTTCTCTTCTTGTCCCTCTACTACCTCAGTGCCCTGGAACAGGGAGCTTTTCTGTGGAGTGAGCCTTGTTTTCAAATTTAAGGGCAGCATCTGAAGCCAGACATGGCACAGGGCTTTATTCCCAGAACTCTGGGAGTCTGAGGCAGGAGGACTGCAAGTTTGAACCCAGTCTGGGCAATTTAGTGACTTAGATCCTATCTCAAAATAAAAATGAAAGAAAGTAGTGGGCACTTTAAAGTATATACCTGTGTCTGATGCAGCACAATTCATAATAACTAAA